GATGCCTCCTGCAGCCGCTGCCGAGGCCAGAGAGGCCTTTTCACTGGGGTGCTGGGCGCGCCCGGCTCAAGCTTCAGAGAAGGTGGGCCAGCACAGGCGATTTGGCAGCGGACGGGGGCTCGGAAACGAGCCGAGGGGCCAGCTGCAAAAACTCCGAGACGAGGACACAACTAAACGCAAGCTTGCAAAACAATCTTGGGCCATCTCCAAATAACAGCTGAATTATTCACCGTTACAGAAAAAGGCTGGGCAGTGCTCAAATCTTTGAACTGCCGTGAGCATGATGGAAACATTGCGCAAGGGCCTCGCATAAAACAGGAGGATTTCGCGGGGCGGTTTTGGTCTTGAAGGCGCCCCCCTTCGCGAGGCCTTGGATGGACGTATGATTTCTGCCTGAACGCGAACAGACAATGCCATGGCACGCGCAGTCGACAGACTGTAGCGGGACCCGATCGCCTGAAATCTTCGTTGGCCTTTTTTCCAAAGCGCGCCCCCACGGACGCACATCTGTATGCACAAGATGGCTGGTAGCCCGCATTGTGGCTTTCATGAGACGTGGCAGCATCCAAGGACACGTGCGAGCAGGATTCTCGAGAGCAGCTGGGCAGTGAAGCAAGCGTATCAACTCAGAAACGCTGCAACAGAAACCGGCAAGCATGCTGCTAATGCGGATGGCCTCTACATCGGTGGGGTGCGTGACCTCCGGCAAAACCATGAGGCGCTGGCCCGAGCGGAGCCGCGATGGGAGGATTGGGCCAACCTGTCCTTCTCGGCGCAGGGGGCCGGCGTCCCTGGCCCAGGACCAAGTCTGACACGGCGCCACCTTGAAGAATCCCCGCGCTTGGCCGGCCAGGATCGAGCCTCTCACAAGTCTCTGTGCTGCCCATGGACGAGAGGTCCCAAGCTGGCCCCCTGCTGAGTTCCCAGTCGAGCACGATTAAGCCTCTCGAAAGAATCGCCCGCGAGAGCCCACCGCGCGCTGAACAACTCTAGAAACACCTGCAACTGGAGCAAGCGGGCGCCCCAGCTGGCCAGGGCGCGAGCGAAGGCCTCGCGGGGCAGGTCGGCAGCCTCGCAGCTGCCTCCACCGCCCTCGCACGCACGCCGGGGGCCACCCGCTGCAGCTGCTCGCCGACGCGCCCCTCATCTGGTAATGCCTCGCGCTGGAGTCGCAGCGCCAGCGCCCTCGCAGCTCGATCCCCCGCAAAGTCCGCAGCTGGCGGGCGCGATCGCGGCTCGGCCCGCCGCGTCGAGGCGCGCGCAGCTCGGGCCCCAGCGACTGCGCCTCGGCACGCCCAGCCGCCTCGCGAAACTAGATCACCAGGTCGGCGCGCCGAAAGCCAAAAACAAGCTGCCCAGCGGGCGTCGCCCTCTTGAGGTACGCGAGCACGTGCACCAGGAAGTGGAACAGCGGCAGGTCGAAAGCGACGGTTTCGTCGAGCTTCCTTGTCTTGCTGCTGACCGACTCCTCGGTCGGGCGCAGCACAATCCGCCCAGTCCTCCGCGCGAGCCCCCGGCACGCTCGGCACGCGCGTCTCCACGGTCACCCGCCGCAGCTCGCTGGGGCGCAGGTAGCAGTGGAAGGCAATCGCCGCCCAGGCCGCCACCGCCCAGAAGCCCGATAGCAACGGCCCCAGCCCGATCAGCGCGACGACCTCCCACGGCAAGGGCAGCCTCGACCGCCCTGGCGCCAGCCGGTTCCAGCCCTTCAAGGCCTGCGCCGAACAGGGCAGGTGGAGCCCGCACGACCTGGCAAACTGTGGGCGGAAGTACTTCACCGCCGCCAGACCCGCGTCGCCCCGCTGCGCCAGCTCCCCGAACGAATGCCCCTGACCCACCCAGCGCGCGACCGCGAAATCTACCTCGTCGTCGCCGAACCCTTGCAACAGCAGGCACTCGGAGCGAACCAGGCGCCACATCCGAAAGATGTCCTGCGACAGGCCGTCGCGCTGCGCCGCCGTCTCTGGAGCGACAGCCGCCCGCCGCTGCAGCGACCCAGGGCCGCGGCCCGCCAGCGGACAGGCAGCAGCGGCAGTCCCAGCCCCCCGCCCGCGCCGCGCAGCTCGCGCCAGCGCGCGGCCCCTCGGTTTCGGAAGTGGTGGCGCCCGCTGCTCCAGCGGCGACTGAGCCGCAGTAGCGCTCAGACGCCGCCCCCTTCCGAGGCCGAGGCCGCTCGGCCGGCGGGCCGCCTCGGCGCTGGGCGGGCGGGCCGGCGAGCGCGTCGGGGCCCGCCGACGGCAGGCTCGCGGACGGCCGGCCAGGCGAGCTCCCAGCCAGCACCGCGACAATCGGCCGCCCTGCTGCCGGGGCGCGGCGCCCCTGATGCCCCGCTGGCCGAGCTCCTCGGCAGGGTCCGCCGCGGCGCCGCCACGCCAGACCCCGAGGGGGGGCGAGGCGGCGCAACGGCGCACCAGCGACGCCCCGCTCAGACGGAATCCAACGCGCCGAAGCCCGCACCGCACCCGCCAAGCGCCAGGCGGCCCATTGGCGCGAGACGCATAGGACCCCCCCGGCGGAGGAGCGGCCCTTCTCCACGGCACATATGAGCCCCGCGCTATCGCAGAGGAACAGGAGACGTCTGCCGAACGACTCCGAATCATGACGTGCGTGCCCGACAGAATGGACGAGGGCGCGACCCTCGAGGACACTGATCTTCTCGGTTCTGGCCCGCCCTCCACTGGGCGCAACCTGCCGCCCCCCTCCGCGCAGCTCCACACCACCTCAGGGACCTTCAACGGGGTGTCCTCCAGATCCCCCACCTCCTCCTTCAGCGATGAGACGAGCTCCGCATTCGACGACGCGACGGGCTCGACGATCGGGCCGAACATCGCGACGTCGTCGATCGGCGAGCCACTCTACCCGAGTAGGCAGTCGCGCGGTCGAGATTCAGCAGCTCTTTAAATGGCCACCGCCCCCCGCACCTACCGGCAGACTGCGCGGCAGGCAGCTCGGCGCCCTTCTGGCACGCGCACCCCCCCCCCCCCCTCCTCGCTCGCATCGCTCGCGTGGGTTCTAAGGGGCCACGCGGCCCGAAGATTGGCCCGAGGGGGGGAAGCGCGGCCCGGCGCGGCCAGCGGCGGGCGGAGGGCGGCAGCGTCAGCACCCAACCGAAGCACTTCCTCGAGACGGCACTGAACTGAACGCGGCCAATAAAGGGCGCCACTGCAATGACATCGAAACGCCCTGCAATATGCCCGACCTAACGCCCCGAAGCGCGACCCCGAGTAAGTGGGCCCTGCATGCCAAGACGGCGCCGCAAGACACGGCGGCGCATCGGTCTCGCAACGCCTCCCTCTTCGTCGAAGACCAAGCCATGCTGTTCAGCCGATGCAGACGCGGGAAGCTCTGGATCACGTAGAGGGAGTCCCGCGCCACTCAGGGCATCTGAGGTCGCATTCAGGAGGGCCGCAGGCCTGACTGGATTCACGCCGCAGGCAATGAAATTGTCAACGCAGGCGGCACGGGCTCAATCCTGCACGGGAAACGTCGGCGCGCCATCAACCGCCTTGGGCATGCTCGCAAAACCTCCCTTCTCACGCAAGATATTGCTGTGAACTCCTCGACAGAAGTCGAGTGCGTGCGCCCGGCCCGTCGGCGGCGCAGCCGGGCATGGCCGCGCCCGCGCGCGGCCAGGGACTGGGCGCCCGCCCAGTTCGCGCGCCCCGAGCTGCGGGGCTCGAAGCCGCGGGGGCGCGACGCGGCGACACAGCTCGAAGGCAAGCCCATGTTGTAGAAAGCGTCAGCGATTTATACGCTGGCCGCCCACGGCATCTCGCCGGGCCCCAGCTCGATGAAACTCAGGTTACCGCCGGGCGCCGAGCGCGTCTTGCCGGGCCCCGCGAACCTTAAATTGCGGCCGCTGCGAACGATCACCAGGCGCTGGCGACCGTATTTCTTCCAAGCGGCGAATAGACCGACCTCAAAATCGCCCTCCACGAGCTTGAACACCAGCGCGCCGCCGCCCCTCACCCTTTCGGCGAAGGCCAGGTAGGCCGCGGGCCGCCGCGGCACTGGGTCCAAATAAGAGCGCGCGAAGCCAGCCTCCTCCCTGGAAATCTAAGCGCTTCCAATTGGCAGAACCTTCGAAGAGATAATCCTCCGCGCGATGACTGGGCCGTCGCCGCTTGCGGCCGCGCGAGATCGCGCGCGACTGGGGGCCACGGCGGGAACCATCGCCGCGCTGTTCTCGGCAAGGTGATCCAGGCATGGATTTTGCACCCCGTTTGGCGACTGACCCGCTCTGCGCGGCGGGCCACCTACGCCAGCGACAAGCTCATTGAGCGCCGCCGCGAGCGCCGTCACGCGCTCGCACTGCAACGACCCGTCGGCCCGACGACGCCACGAGGCGCGGCCGCCGCCGCCGCCCACCTCCGCCACCGCGCGGCACCAGTCGGAAACTGGCAAAGGAAACGCGACCGCTGCAAGTGATCATCGCGCCCAACATCCACCTCTTCCGCATCGCCCATAGGGCCCCGTAGACCCGGACACGCTAGACCCTGGCACCCAACACCCCTCGAACCAGCATTTCCCAAACGGCGGCGACAACAAACTACTGCACATCAGCATTTCCAGAATAAGCCCGGGCACAAGCCTCAAAGCCTGCGAGACCTCGGTAAACCCGGACACAAACCCGAATGCTGCAGCGCAGCAAACAAAACATGCACGGGTGCTGAAAAACGTGACCTTGCAGGAAAGGGTGTCGTTTCCTTGGTTTCCCGTGTCCTGGTCTATCTGCGTCCTGGTCTCCGGGGGCCTGAGGCCCCCGGGCCGAGGCAGTCCCGGGCGCGGTCCCAGCATCATCGCGACTTCGTGGGATAAGCATACTTGCCGCTATTGCTGGCCTTCTGCTCCTCCCTTAACTTCCGCGCGTTCTTGTTGACGCGGTGGATCCGCTCCAGATCCTTCAAAGCCGGGCCCAGCGCGTCAGGGCGCACCGTCGAAGGAGATCTCGACCCCCTCATGAACGCGAAAGCCTGCTCCAAGGGCATCCGCGCGTTGTGCTACTGCTGCTCTGCGCTCCTGCCGCCACAGTAGTGCTCGATGAGCTGAAGCCTCCTGTAGCCGAGCTCCGCGCTCGCCAGGTTGTACACCTCCAGGTGGCTGTTCGACCCCATCGCCTCGATCAGATTCGATATCGTCTCGTGTATGTCTACCCCGAAGTCGGTCGAGTTCAGCTTCCGCTCTGCCTTCCACATTTCATGATGCAGGACGGGGCCTCCCTCCTTCACCTGGTACTTAGCGCACCACTTCGCCGTCCTCGGCGGAGCCGCTCCGAAAAACTTGGACGGCCTCTTCGCGGCAATGCTGCACCACCTCACGCAACTCGCGGGCGTTTCCCTCGGCTGACCAGCCCCAAGACAGATCTCGAACGTCCGGGCATCACTCCCGCGATATTATTGGGATAACCATGCGGTATCGCTGTCCCGCAGCACCACCACGCCGGCCCCGGCGCACCCCGGTAGCGACAACAGCCCACGGCACCCCGCGCGGCCCGCCAACGTCGCCCCGCACGGCACGCCGACGGCCACTTTCGCCCCGAATGCCACGGCGCCGTCGACGTCCTCCGCATCCACCCAGTGCCACACCGCGGCTGGTTCCCCGCTCGTCTGCGGCGCCTCAGCCGGCGCGTCTGGCACCGCGGGCGCCCGCACTGCAGGCGCAGCAGCCACCGCCGGCGGCGCGCCTCCGACGGCAGGGACCACGGCCAGGACCCTGGGAGCAGCCAGGCCGCCGGCCGCCGCGGGCGCCGCCGCTCCAGGGAACGCCAAGGCTCCAGGCGTTGCCGCCGCGAGGAGGGCAGGCGTTGGGGCGGCCAGGGGCGGGGCGGCGATCGCAGGGTCCGCCAGCTCCACGTTGCCAGCCAGGGCTCCTGCGCAGTTCACCGCCGACGCAGTCAGGATGAAGGGCCCGGCTGGCACAACTCCGAACCCCAGCGCGGCACCATGGCGGAGGGCGTCCCGCACCTGATCAGCAAGTAGGCTGACGACGAAACCTGTAGACGCGATTCGCGGGGATGCCACCAGCCACGGCCGCCTTGCCCGTGCACGATGTGGATATCCTGCACGTCCGCGCCCGGGATCATCATCTCCCTGTACTGGTCGAAGTCTGGAATCATGACATACCGAAACTGATACAGGACCAAACGCTCATGGTACAACGCGGGCCCTCCGACACGATACCTGGTGAGGGGCAAACCGCCCGCCAGCGCTCCAGCCGCCATCATCAGGCGGCCACGCCCGCGGGCCTCTTGCGGAACGCCTTCGCCTGCTCCAGCGCGAGGAGGGTGAGGTCGTCACCCGCCGCAGCTGCTGGCGCCCCGGCCGGCACCGCGGGCGTTCCCAACGCTCGGGAGCGGGGCCGCGGGCCCCACGCGACGGCAGTCGCCCCGAGCGCGACGCCCAAGAGCAGCGAAAGCACGGCCACCCAGGCCAGCTGCTGCCCCGGGCAGCCTGGGGTCGCGGCGGCCGGGAGGCCTTTCTCGCCGCCAGGGCGCGTGCGGTGCAGAGCGGAGCGGAGCGGCTGCACCAGCAGTCCGGGCAGCTGGGCACCGCGGCGCGCATGAAGAATGCAGTGGTCAGAGCCTGCCCGATGCCGTGGACCAGCCGCAACACCCCAGCTTCCATCACCCCAAAAGGTCTCAGCGCAAAACAAGTGACGTAAAATGGCAATGGAATGGCCATGGACATGAAACAACCTATATTTCAAGCGCGGCCTCTCGTGCTGCGGCATCAGGCAATCCACAACGAAGTAGTGAGCAGGAGGAAGAGAAGGAGGCCGCTTTTCCCGCGACAAGAGCCTGCGAGTGCCTCGCGACGGCCTGCGTGTAAGGCCAACCTGGTCTTGAACCAATCCCAGCCAGAACAACCTGGCCTCTGATAGCGACAGACCACCGCCGCCCCATGCCACCCGCCACTCAGGTCGGGGACACTGGAACCCAACTCGACCACCGCGCGGGGCACACAGTGCGAGTACACATTGGGCCCAGGACCACCCCCCAAAGCCGGCAGGACAGGTGGCATGCATCCATGAGCCCCTCCCTCCCGCCCTGTGGGTCGGGTTGGCCCGGTCTATGAACACTCGAAAAAGCCAGAAAGGAACCCTCCATGCGACCGAACAGCACCCACCACCACCCGATTGGTTCTATGAGGGCTTCAGTTCCCCCAAGCGCCGCAAGGGTGCCTCACCAGCCCACCAGCCCCTGCTTGGGGGCGGAGGCGGAAGGACAGGAGAAGGAGGAGGAGGAGGAGGAGGAGGACCTCCCCATCCTCTCCTCCCCGCCGTCTTACCTAATGTGGTGGACGTGGGGCTCGGCCCATCAGAGGATGCAGGCGAGATGGGGGCGAGGGGAGCAGCTGGGGCATGGGGGCCGGGAGGCGGAGGCGGGGGAGGGGGGGCGGCAAGGGGGCCAGGGGGCGGCGAAGGAACCCCAGCATGCGCATGAGGGGCCCGAACTCGGCGCGGTCCAGTTCGTTGTCCCCGCTCTTGTCAAACCTGGACCCC